CATGCCTGCAGATGAAACGGTCTTCGCCTTCTTTGGAGCCGGTTCTCCCTTTCGATTGTTCTTTTGTCTCGGGTGTAAAGTGATTGACTCATGTTTCATCCATGGTTATGAAACGACACAAGAATTCTGCTATTTTGCTGTGAAACTTCGCTAATCACTCAATTGAAACATATTCCCAACACTGTTTTTTCTCGAGGTGAGCAAACGCGGCATCTATCCTGCACACAGTTTTTTCATGACTGAATTTTCAGATAATATACGATGTATCCCACTTTTTGAAATGTCTACTAAGTCTGTTAGCTCGCGCACTTTCAGTCGACGATCATCCAGTACCGCTTTGAGGATTTTCTTCACCGTTTCTGAAGACGTCACCGTATCTGAAGCGATTGCACCAGGTCATGAAAAGTGATATAGAATCACATTTATGCCGTTTTCGAATGCTACTGGATCATACAAATTGGATTTGTCATTGACTGGTAAAGCTAAGAATCACAGAGATTTCAAGTGTTTTGTCTGTCAGTCAGTTACAAGAACCAATTTGAAAGTCACGAGAAATATTGAGTGAATAGTCATATAAAGACTTAGTTCGTGAAGTGAAGAAGTTTACGAAAGTATTCAACTTGCACACGAAAGTTTTACTCATACATGACAATGCTCCAGGCGACCCAAATGAATAAGAACTTAGATCAAGTAATATCCAAACGATCTTCCATTACAAACTGCACACCTTCAGTGCAGCCGATAAATTCAAGATGTTATCCAGAACTCTAAAGTCATTGTATGAAAATAAATTGTTCCTCCATATCCTCAGAATGGTGACATAACGCAAAGCCTCAAAAAATTGAATTTGAGGAATGTTGTATTCTTTTTCTCGTTCTGTTCCACCCGGTTCAATGCAATCATCATGGAAAAAGCCATGGCCTTCAATGAATGCTTCATCAGAAGAAATGGAAGGATGGGATCATGAAGATTATTCGTTTTTTTGCAAAATTCATCACAAACAGGATTCAAGACAAATGGAGAAGGTTTAAATTCTTGATTTGAAGGGACCCAAGAAACAGCAAATTATAACAGATGCATTACAAGAAGAAAAAAGCCTTGTAGAAATACTGGAGCCACTGACTACTATGACTGTGAAAGTAAAATCACATACAGCAGTCANCACCTGTAACAACGTTTCGAGATTCAGAGACAAATGACCCAGTCTGAAGCCTAACTTTAACAACCTGTGTACGACCAGTTAAATAGGTTTCAATCCATTTCAAACTTGGACCACGGACGCCCATGTCAAACAGTTTATCAAGAAGAAAACCATGATGTATGGTATCAAACGCCCGTGTCAAGTCGAAAAGAACACTAAGTGATTTTTCACCGTTGTTTACCAAATAAGTTTTTCAAACAATTTACCAAATATGTACCTTTCTCTTCAATACTTTCTTGGTCATATATTTGAAAAAATGAAGTATTGAACAAATCTACCTGAAAAAGATTTTCGGTAAAGGCTTTGAAGCTCCTGTATGTACAGAGTTTGGGATCCTATTGCTTTTCACGTACTCTCAACTTACAATATAGGTACTATATCGTGATCAGAAATGTGGTGAGGTATAATACCTGTCTCTACCTTACTTCCCTTTTGGACTATAACATAGTCCAAAAGACTTGCTGACGTGGCTGTAAAAAATAATTTATTTCCATTTTGACGTTTCTTGTTGATGTACATTGATTTTTTTTTCATTATGCAGTTTTCAATAAGGTAAATGAAAGTATTGATTTTTTTTAACCAGAAAGGTTGCGCCCCACATCGTAAACTGAGTGATCATTGGGTCCGAGAATTATGTGCCCTTAGTAGACGCAAATGAGCCAATAATAACAGCTTCATTATTATCATGATTATCTTTTGTTGAACTGGTTGGGCCCTGTTTCAATACATTCACGAAGGCGTGCCGACATCATCATCAATGACCACTCCCCACACTGTCGGATAAGCAGATGCAATGAGTCGATAATGACAACCTTATAAATTTGTTTGTTGTGTGTACCCAATAGACAACACCAAATAATGTTGCGTATTTGCAACCACTTCAATATATTCTGTTGAGAGAACATTAGACTGAATATTTAAATCATTAACTTGATCATAAGAATGGAATAAATTACTTCAGACTTACCGATCGTGATATCTTCTGGAGTTTCGAGGCCCCCAGGAACGGAATAATCGATGATTATTGGCATAAACTTTTTTCAAAGTAACACTTTCATACATAAACATCGAACTTATTAGATAATAAATAAACTTATTAAATATTAAATAAAAATAAACACAAATTTCACTCGTTTGCATTAAAGAAACAGTTCTGTTTGATGACCCTACCCATCATATATTTTTCATTGTAGTCGGGTTTGAAGTCTGTCTATTTTTGAAATTCCTTTCTGACTTTTCGCTGGCGCGAATGTCTGGCTTCTTCAGAGGTTTAGTCCTAGCCTGCAGTTTCTTTCATGCTCCTTCAGTCTTGTTCCTATGGATCTTTTGGTGGTTCCAATGTATACCTTCCCACAAGTGCATGGTGAGTCTCTCTGGTCTTTAGTCGACCTGAGACTTTGTTGTATCTTCCTGGTGGGTTTGAAAACAGTTTTTGTTATGTTTCCCCACGAGTTTTTCAATTGTGTCTGTGATCCTAGGGATATAGTGGTAGATAGGATAGTGATTTTGAACCACGGTTCAAAACAGAAACGAGGTTCAGATATCTATCATATATCCCAAGGGTTATATACAAAATTGAAAAACTCTTGTGGAAACACAACATAATAACGGTTTTCCAACCTACCAGAAAGATACAATAAAGTCTCAGGTCGGCTAAAGACAAGGAGACCCATTATCAGCAGCAGAGGTATATCGCATAGCATGCACTTATGGGAAAGTATATACTACCAGAAGATTCATGAAAACAAGGATGAAGGAGCACAAAAGAAACTGCAAATAAGGTCAAACGGACAAGTCCTCAATGAAGGAAATCACAGGATTCTGTTTGAAAAGCCGAAACTCATTGCCCCCAACCAGAGATACCATAGCCGATTGGTACAGGAAGCAATGGACCTATAACACACAAATAATTTCAACAGAAAAAATGAAGCTGTGAACCTCAACCGAATATGAAATCTCATTCTTAGAGGTTCAAGATTGGCAAACAGCATGACCACAGTTAGAAAAGGGTCAATGAATGTTATTGACATGTTATCTAATTCAGGTATAGATATTAACACACCGAACTACCCGAGTCAATATGAACAGGCTTTACGCAATTTACCTAACTCATGTACAGGAGTACACATCAAACTATCTGAGTCAACATAAATACAACTTTTGAAGCCGTAATATCCAGTCATCGGATATAGGTAGGTCTGAAGTGACTGGGTCTATTCGACCCTCTACCGCAACCCACAAGGGTTTATTATGGCTCAGACCTATTCACACTCGGCCAAATAAACCCAGCTTCTTAACGAAGCCCATTAGTATGGTGAGTGGTCTTTCAGATCGGATATAACTAAGGATATATAAACCTCTGAAGAAGTTAGCCACTTGCTCCAGAGAAAGTCACGAAGAAATTCCAGAAATCGACGGCCTTTAAACCGGCCGCGAAAGCCTTAATCATTTTTTCATTGTAGTGTCTTTTAAAACTTATGTTAGGAAAGAAATGTGTTCCTTGTCTTGTAATGTTATTCAAAAATGTGCTGATGAGTTGATAAAGACAGGTGTCTTACTCCAAAACTTCGAAAATTATCATTGAGGATGGAATTCCTATCAATTATATTTGTTTCAATTCCATGACGAATGTTTCGAGCTCTAACTGAATATAAAAAGTGATTTTTGTACATTAATGTTCACATAAAAGTAGTTGTTGCAAAAATATTTTTTCTTTGGTGTTATTCAATGTTCATGTGAAAGCAGTTGTTTTAGGTTTTTTTTCTAGTTTCTATCTGAAAATGACTCCTATTCCTGAACTACATACACATCTTTGAAAATACTTTATTTTTAACTCGATTGCTTTCTTCCTTCTATTGGAAGTTTCCCACATGTTTTGTATGAAGATAGTAGTAGAAAGTCAAAAACCTTATTTATCCAAAAAATATACCACTTTCAATTTGAAAAAGTAACTATTTGATATTGTAAAAAGAGTCACTTCAAAACTTATCAAAACACAAAAATTAAAAACAATATATTTGTACATTTACATATCTAAAAACATTTTCTAAATTTCACTCATCTGAGAGTTATACTGTCCTGGTTAGTTAGATGTTCATTTTCTCTCAAGAGTCTCGTAGAAATTTCCAAGTTTTTTACAATATTCTCCAGATTCCAATGTTTCGGTAGAAGGGCATGATCCAAAGTGAAACAACTGTGCCGAATACATTTCACCGCTGTACAATGGGCAGTTGAATGCAGTTTTAGGCCAATTTCATGGATCAGAGTTGTCAGATATTGTTCATTTTCATTGATGCATTGGACTTCTGAAAAAAAATCACATTCAAATAAATGAAGTGTATCAGAACAATTTGTTGAAATATTGTGATAATACAGAATACAATTTTGAAGAATTTATTGATGGAAGTCGACAATTTCTTTTCTATTGAATTATTATATTTATACAGGGCTATTTAAATTCAAGTATATTTAAGGGATCTTGTAAAAGGTAAGACACAAATAGCAGATTAACTTGTGACAAAGTTGCTGTTTTTTGGATGATATTGAATGATATCGAAGAACTATTGACAATTTGTTCACTCTTTGCCTTTAGAAATTTCATTGTACAGGATTTGATTATAGAATTTTTAAACAGGTGTTGTCAGATACGTGGCACCCTCAACTTTGAAATTTTAAATAGGGGTCTGTATTCTGTAGCAATTTGTTGACGATCATCAAATTTGATGATCATCAAATGAATTATTTCATTACGACCTTGATACCCACTCGAATGAAAGCAATTCCTACGCTTCTCATGTACCACAATTCAGACTGTCAAAAACTCTATGCGTTGAAATACACCTGAAATGTGTTGATAGTTATAAAACTCAAATATTTCCATTGAGATTTTCCTACATTGTATAGCTTTGAACAGTTTATGAAAAACTTTCATGTCCAAATCCTAGTTCGACTCTTGTAGTGTTTAACCTGCAGTCAATAAATAACAAGAAATATGCATTATCGTTTCAGAAAAATGAGCTGGTATTGACTTCAAACTGTAAATGAATTTATCTATCTTAATTCAAAGCTCATTTGAAGTTCCTGAGAGAAGTTGCATATTCCAGAAAACAAAAATGAAAGTTCCGACAAGTTCTTACTGTTCAATATATTAAGGAAATGAAGTAGGTGTTTTCTTGAATTTCATTCTCAAGAATTACATGAGAACACAATTTGATTCATATGTTTCTATGTCCATGCAACCATATGTTGTTTGGTGTTGGATATGCTTTGTTTTGCTTTTGCTAACTGGTTTCAACCATTTGAAAATACCTATGAAAAATTGTGCTGTTCCTGAGATATTTTGAATGTTATTTGGAAAATTCCATAAATAAAACTTACCAACAAAAGTGATACATAATTTCATTTCTCCAGTATATTCGAAAATGAAAACTTGTTGGTACTTATGCAAATTCTCTCAGGAAGTTTTGTTTTATTTGGAGTTTTGTTGTATCAACGTGCATGGTGAAGTTATTGAGAACAAACTTTGCTTTGAATTGTTTCTATTCAAGTGACTCTCAGGGATGAAATGAAAAACAATAATTTATTTAATTGGTTATCGAATTTTGTTGTACAAACTTTGCTTTGAGTTGTTTCTATTCAAGTGACTTTCAGGGATGAAATGAAAAACAATAATTTATTTAATTGGTTATCGAATTAACAAAACTCTCGAAAATATCAAGAAAAATTGATTTTCTCGATATTATATGAACATTACCAATGAAAAAATTGCTGCAAAAAAAAGCGTTAAAAATCAAATGCTGTACAATAAAAGTTCTAATGGCAAAGTGTAAACAAATTGTCAATAGTTCTTCAATATCCTTTAATATCATCAAATAAACGGCAACTTTGCCAGAATTCAACCTGCGTTCTATCTCTTACCTTTTTTTATGCAGCCTTTTTTTTATACAGGGTGTCTCATGATTGTATTCTGATGAAAGTTCCAACGGTAGAATAAAAATAGATTTCCAATATTTCTACAAATGAAGAATAGGTCCAAAAATCGCCCTGAGCGAAGCCTCTTTATTTGTCTAACTAAGATTTCTGAACTCCCATACATCCATTTTGAAAGAGTGGTTTGAGTACAGTCTGCGGAGTTCAAATATGAATTTCAATATTTCATCTTCTTTTTGGACAATATTCCTCTCACCTGAAGATGAAAACTACACGACGAATACCGTCATACTTTGAATGGTGAAATATTACATATTAAATTGTATCTAGGGGTGACGTGTGAGTGGTTCCGATGAATTCAACACCTCTCATTGTCAATGGATTCAATATCCCTCGGAGCGTATGAAAATACTGGCGATTCGCCAATGCCGTAGGAGTGCCCCCAAAAGATAATATAGCACTCATAATGCTGCATTATATCGATGGGTATAGGCTGAAACTGTTTATTACGGACATGCTGACAGTAAATGCATAAGGGTCTCAGGCACTTCACGGCAGGCCCTTTCACTTGACAATAAATAAAATCATACCACTCAGTATCACGGTAATTCGATTTGAACGACACAGATGTGGTGAGGTTGTCATAACTTCGTGAAATTATTTTGTGGAGGATAAAAATGTATAGGTTCTTCTGATTTCAAAGTTACTTTTCCTCCGTCTCTCACAGATTCGTAACTCTCACACGTAAGCAGCGATGAAAATTTGAATGAATTCAATGATGAACTTCATTGCACTTTGCTTGTCTTGGGGCTGTACAAACGGTAACCTTTTATATCATCAGCATATCCCACAAAATTACATTCTTCACTTTGATTCCATTTCCTTCACTATTTTTTGGCTGCATGGAAAATTTCTATGTGAAGTTTTCACGACCTTTTAGTTTTTCAATTCAAAAATTTGAATTGGAACTTGACTTTCCTGCATTAAAGTCTCTTCGTCGGTGAAATAAATTATTCAGCACTCTCCTGGACCAGTTACCTATTGGAATCTGAACAGCCACAGTGTTATTTTATGAAGAAAGACTGAAATCTTGTATGATTTGATTCATTTATCAAACTCTCATTTAAACAGCAACAACAAAAGATTAAACAGTATAAAAAAGATTGAAGAATATAAATTGACCGGCCAACAAAATGTTGGCAACATGTTGATATTGGTGTTATCAACTTGCATCCTGTCAACTAGCAACTAGTTGATGGATACTTGTAAATATTGGGCAGCATTACCTAAAAGAAGTGTGTTGCTCAATTTCTGTGTCGATTTCTGCTTTGTTGATGAGAAATGTGTATCTATTCAGTACTAACTGAACTGGGTGAAGCTAATGTGTAGATAAACATTTCTTGGATTGAATTTATTGTGGAAATTGTATAATTATTATCATTGATAGTTTTATTATTTTCATTGAATAACAGTTCATTCAACAGTGATGCTTCATTCAGGTAGCTAGACTGAGCCGTCAAACTGACAAGCATAGTTATATTTTGGGCTGGCTGATTGTAAACTGCGAACGAAAATAATCAAAATGCGCTAAGTTACAGACGCTCTGATTGGTTTTCCCATTTTCTTGTGAATTCATTGAACTTACCTAAAACAAAGTTTGGAGCATCATATTCAACACATTTCAAACCATATATAATTGGTATTTTTGAATTGATAGGACGAATTGGTCCTTTAACTGCCAGATCATATGCCAGCTGAGATTGTATATTGACTCCACACGATCTGCAAACATTTTAAAAATACTTCAATTTTATTGGAACTTTTGAATATAATTCGAAAGTTACTTCAAAAGATTTACCTTTTCACAATCTGAAAAAAAAAATGATAGAGTGCTTTATGTAGAGAAGGAACATTGGTTTGATATAAGTCCAGGTATCACCCGAAGACGATTGTGGATACTAACAATCGAAATGTCGTGAAGTAATTTGATTTGGGATCTTTTCAACTGAATCTATCATTAAACTGATTACATAGATCAATGGAATGAAAAAACATAAATAAAATATATGCTATCAATCATTAGATAGATTATTGGACAATGAAAATTAAAGATAGAGAAGTATTATATACTACAACAAAGAGTGAACAGTGTCTTGCAAATGAAAAACTAGAAAGTTAGGCAACATAGTCATTGGAAAATAATGACGAAGAGTAAAAGATTCTTTGATATTATAGTGCTATAGATGAAGGAAATAAAATTCCCGGAAGCATATAACTGACCATGACGCAAGAGTTGTGAAGGAGTGATTTGCTGAAATTAATGTTGAGGCAGATCGATTATATGAAGTTTTTAGACTTGGAACTTTCACAAATAGCACAAACCAAAAATAGCTTGCTCTTCCATTACTGAAAAAGCTGTAACAGTACTAAAAAAATAGACATACAATTAAAGAACCAGAATGAAAATATTTGCAGACTAAATCAAATATCAAAGAGAATGAATAAGATATAACAATGGGCTGTTTGGAACATGACTTTTGTCACTGTTCATTGTTCTCATGCTGCAATTTACTAGTGCCAGACTTTTGAGAGTATTCAGGAATCTAGTGTTATGTACCGATCTCAAACATTTCAGACAGTTTTCATTTACTCTATGACTGTTCTCCAAGGGGTGCTGAGTGACACTGGATTTTTATGGTATTTGAAATCAGATATGTGCTACGTGTTCTTTGAAACAATATTTGATGACTCGCTAACTCTGACTGATATATTTTTTGTCACAGTCCTCACAATTTATTTCATATTAATGTATCTTGATTTATATGGAAAGACAATAAACTCTGAATCTAAGTCTTTTTGAAAAGTCGAAGATTTACAAAGATTCTCCCTGAATTTACGTTTCCTAATTAACCTGTCTATAATATATGAAAAATACCCGTTGCTTTCAGCTATGTCCCTGATAACATTTTTCTCAATATTGTACCTTTCTTTACTGGAAAGTAACAAAAAACAACCCTATGGACAAGACAGTTGAGACATGTCATTTTGTGTTGTGGACAAGGTTGCGATCTATCAGGAATATATCTAAAAGTACTGGTATTCTTTCTGTAGTCCTCTACCTAGCTTCCTTTGTATCAAAAATCGCAAATACGTTGTCTACAGATCGAATCCATGTCCATTTCAATTCTGATTATAAACAGATTAGTTATGAAAGGATAAAGTGAGTTTCCTATTACCGTGACTTCAAGCTGTCTGTAGAAAGCAACGTGCACAAAAATTATGATGTGTTATTCGATAAATCTTCTTCAGATGTTATGATTGATGGTTCTACAATATCCTCAATTGAACGGCATAATCTCCACATGTTGTCCTCTTCTTTTATAACACGTTCAACACATTTTTGCCGAAACTTTTCACTTGAGCCCAAATAAGTTCCATCAGCTTAAGTTCACAATGATGAGGGGGCAGGAATAATATTTTATTTCTGTGCTATCTTGTCGACTACACATTTTGTGAAACTGGTTTTAGTTGAACATATATGGACAATAGTTCTTTTTTAACCATACTTTCATCAAATGGTATGTTTTTTGTCAAAGTAACTCAATGGTATCCGCTTTCCTACATGCATTAGTTGTTATTCTCTCAATATCTTTTCCAGTGAAAATTTAGGATTTCTCAGGTATGTTTGATTCAATCAGATGAGCTGTGCAGGTATGTTATACATTAAAATGAGCTTTTCATAGAAAGTATTGAACATTGTAATCAAAATTCAAAAGTAATTTTCGGTATTTAATTGAAAAAAATCTATCAGTTATTAATAGGACTGTTCCATATTTTTGTTACTCACCGTATACATATCAAGAGTCCTTTGAGATTTGTTATATCAAATCATACAATATTGAATCATCAATCTCTACATTCATCACATTTAAACTGACTCAATTATGTACGCCTATGAAACAGATACTTGAAAATGATTTATTACTCCGCCGTTTGAGGAAATAAACTACAATATCTTATGAAATGAGGAGTTGATACACACTTTTGACGCAAAGAAAGTAATTGAAAAATGCTATTGATTTCGACTTTAATTAGATACAGCTTTTCAATAAACTATCACAACAAACAAAATATGGATTCTATTGTTTCCTACTAGATGTTTACAGTCTTAATACTAGGAATCATTAGCATGATGTTACTACTCCTAAATTATTATTACGAAGAAAAACTTACTCAAACATTTTCTTTTGATGTGCAGCTTGCATAGAGGATAATAGTCGATCTATGTGAGATTGTCTGATGTATTTCCAAGTGGACCGTTCTACAACTTTTCCATCTTTAAAACCAGTATCTGTGGCCAATCCAAAAACACCTTTTATTCGATAAGCTCTGGTAGGTCGATTTTCACGAATAAATTTAGCTGCCATTGTCCCTTTTTTCAAACCAAATACTGTGAATTGAAATGGGGATATAATTTAATAAAGTAACTAAATGATGGAAATTAATAAAATAGTTGAAATAAACAGAGTAAGTTACGAGGTGAACTTTTTTTTAGAATGTAGCAGAGATAACAATAATTAAACATCCATTTTTTAATATCTAGATAATGACGAGAAAGAAGATTTTTAAAGAAAACATTTGATTATATATTTTCAATAAGAATCCATGGAAGATGTAAAAAGGAACAAAACAATTTGATATAGCAGAACAATGAAAAATCTTACATTCTTTCTTCAAATATGTCACAATGAATCAAAAATTGTGCTACTTGTGAAATACTATGAAAAGTGACTTGAAAAGACTCATTTATTTTATATATGTTTCTGAATATGCAAAAAATGTTACGAACCCGATTGCAAGAATTCTGGTAAAACACAAGGAGAACCCGATATTTATGTCAAAGAAACCATTAGTGGGAGTCATAGGTCAGGACTCAAAAAGTCCTTTACAACATCGGGTATATACCGGATTCTTCATAGCTATGGATGAGTCTACGTTGAAAAGAAATTATTGTCTCAGGCATAATGAATGGAACATGCACTCCGAGAAGGCACCCACGTTATCGCATTCAACTAGAGATCTAGACCAAAGAATCCGAAACAAGCACTTTTCTCAATCACCAAAAATGCAATACTCTTTACGACACGTGTTTCACCAACCACGTTGGCGTCTTCAGTTTTCTTCATCTCCTGACGATACCAACTTAGTTCGTGAAACGTCGAGAAGAGTATTGCATTTCTGGTAATTGGAAAAAGTTCTTGTTCTGGATTCAATCTACGCCAGAGGTTTCAGTTTTACATGTTAATTGACCAAAGAACTGTATAGAATTCAGTTACTGTATCCAAACTGAAAGTGAAAAGGAATCAACATAAATGAAGTCTGACCTGCACTAAACTGCATTCATATCAGGCCAAATAATGCAACCAATAGAAATTATTTCACGCCCAGCACAAATGGAAAACCAGAACACTTCGTTCATTACCTTTTTGCCTTTGATAATGTCTGCCACAGTTGTAGACATAATTATTGTCTACACAATTATAATTTCCATAGAGGGTAATAATAAAATTTATTTTATTATGACCAGTGAATCAACTCAACATTCATTCTTTCGCGGCCAGTAAATTGAACGTTACGGTACCTGATATCACAATGTCTTGCCTAGCAACACTTTCAATTTTTGAAAGCAAGGACGTTTTAGTTTCGACTTCTGACAAGTTCGCACTTGAAAATTAAATTTCACTGAAATATATACAAAATGTACAAGCTGTGTACACTATTTTTTGCGATAGTGATGAGAACCAAGATAATAATAATAACCATATGTAAGGGATATGTAAGAGAAAAATATCCACCGCTATACATACATTCAACTACTCTTTATCCAATCTTAGTAATTGAAGAATGTCATTTAATTATGAAATAGAGTGCAAATTACGCTTCTCAATAGAATTTACTTCAACTACAATTCTTATTTTATCTGGACCAATATCTATTGGCACATTTGTTTGAAGGTGGTTGACAATGTTTCGTAGTGCTTTTCATTAGTTCGGACTTCCACTGTCTAATATGATATAAATTGATTTGAAATCCCTGATCTTTTTTTTTGTCTTTGTTGCATTTTATTCATTCGTACTAAATGCATGCTACTTTTTTTAAAATATGAAGTTGTAGGATGGAATACTCAACAAAAAAAATAATGTAGTTTTGTGTGGTTTCATAGTAGTTATCGTCATTTCTGATCATCTCATTAAAAATTGAATTTAATATTCACTGTATTCATGAAACACAAAATCTCTAGAATTATATTCACTATGCTGATGATACAGTTTACTCAATCGATATGATGCCAAAAATGTGAAAACATCTATAACCACATATACACAGCATTTTAATGTAAAATTTTTACCAGTCGATATTACTAAAACTGCTGTATGAGCCAATTTCATCAAATTGTTCAAATGTGGTTCATCAATAAGACTCCCTCATCCTTTTTTTTGTATCAAGATGGAGTAAAAGAAAGTCAAAAACTTTCTTTCCCAAAAAATCAATAAGTACACATTACATAAATTGATTTTTCAAATTTATGATGCAGGAATAAAACAAAATACATAATATAAGAACCATCATCTTCTCATATATTGCACATATCACTGATGAAATATGCAGTATAAGTGTAAAAGTTTGGTACTACAAGTTCCATTTGATCACAGCCTACTAACCCATATTTGTTTTCTCTAATTGAAATACCTAATTTCCAGTGAAAAAAAATGTCTACTCTGACAGTGTATTAGGAAGTTGTCAAATTATAGATACAAAAAAGTAGCATAAGTTCATGTTTACGAAACAGAAACATACTTAATACTCCACTGGTATTCCAACCCAAGTAGTTCGACCAGCTTACTGCCAACTCATCCTGTAGGTATTTTGGACCAACAACATTGGGATGAACACTCAAATCCGTTATTTCATTTTGAGTAAGTATGGTTGAGATTTCTTTGGTTGCCAGTTCTTTAACAGAACCATCATGTAATGACAGTTTTCTTTCAGGATATCTGAGTTTGACATCCAGGTCACTGAGATCTAAAAAAGGAATATTGCCAAGTTATAGAAAAAACATTTTGGGAAGATTATGTTTGGAAATAACTAATACTGATAGAGATACTTTAGTTTTCCTTGACATTTTCGAATGTATAGGAATAGTGACGAAAATAAAATAAAACAATAAGAATTGAATAAAAAAGAATTGAAATAAACAAAGTCGAATAAGACATTATCCTTTTTTGTGCTTCTATACTTCTACTTCTCTATTATTAAATAAAATAAGTCAACAAACATCGAAGCAGTAAGAGACCCATTCTCATTTTTTTTCCTAGAGATTTCTCTCCAGATCTCAAGTTTTTTCACAATCTCGACTTTCTTCTTTGGATTTCAATTCTCCATGAAGTCTGAAAATTTGAGAATTTAATTCGAGTAAAAACAATTGAATATGTCTCTTGTACTATTTCATATTTCTTTTTCAATTTGTATTACTTTTCTTTCTTTGGCCAGTTTTTATTTTTCATATATAAATACCTGGAGGTATAAAAAGAAAAAAGTGGTTTTCAAATTTAAAATTTAAAATGCGAAAATACCCAAAACGGCACATGCGCATAAATATTATGTCTTCCTAGGCCAAGTTGACTACTATTTTCAATAGTTTTGGCAAGTGGTAGTGATACTTGAGAGCTAGTGAAAAATATAAATAACCGAAACTTACCAGTTTTCAAGTGAGTATATTTTGATGTTACTCATTTAATGAAAATGTTACTAACCTTTACATATATTCCAAATTAAAGTTTTCCGCAGATTTCGGACAGACGATTCTGCCGGTTTGTATACACAAATGATTCCTTTCAGTGCGTTCCACAATAAATCTGAATCAGGTCTCATTTTTTAATGGAAAATCACTTATCATGTTATTTACATCAACAATGAAGGATCTGGAAATGATTTCTGGAAATAGTTGAAATGGTTTTCAATTTTTTAGGTTATGATCAACATCGTTGCCATGTTTCTCTGTGAATAAAAGGGAAAGTATACTGGCTTTCATGTTTTGTAACATATTTAAAGTTTTTCGATTCTAAATCATTTTACTTGAGTGAAAAAAATTGAAATACAGGAGTTACAAACCCTCTGCTACGTTGATTTTTTATATTTTCTGCGATAAAAGAAAAGTAATATCAAAAATAATATTCACTGTTGTTTGTTGAAACTCATTTTTACAAAAATAAAATTTTATTATCAATATTTAAAGAAAAATTATTTCATTGTAAAATTTTCCTTCAAACTAAGTACCTAAAAAATAATGTAGCAAATGAACACTACCATTATCATTCTGTCAACCATGTTATATAATTGAAGTAAAATGAAAGGTAAGTTTCTTCTTTTCATTGAAGACACGTTTGTTAAAAGTGACTATCTAGTTCATTTCCGAGTAATTTTTCAATACATACAATGAACCGATTTCCAATTTTTTCCGTGACATTCGCACTACTCCTAGACCCATCATGGTACCTTAACTGCCTTGAAGAAATGATGCACACTTATTATAAATTTCACCATAGTTTAAACTACTAAAAATTTTCTAGTATTGGCAACGGTGGATATGTTTAGAAAGTGCGACACCTGTGTTCGAATAGGAAAATTATTAATTGGTCGAAAAGGAACTCTAACATTTTGTCGATGACATCTAAGGAGACTATCAGATGGAGAAACAAGTTCGGAAGTTTGAAGAATTGTGCATTTTGGTGGTTTATTTCAACACATATGAGGGGTGGGGTGTAGATACAAAACTTACATTCTCCAATTTTTGGAGAATGAGTCTATTATTCTCTGTATACAAATGGACATGTTCCTGAGTTTCTTATGAGTCAAAAGATAGCAATAATTTACAAAAATTTGTCATAAGTAGCATATGTAATCACTACATAGGTATAATTAAACGATGTTCTTCCGTCGCGTCTGTCTGTTTGTCGGGTCGCTGGTATTATATATTTTGAGGACTACACCTTTTCATACAGAAGACTAGATGAAGAAAACTAATCAGTTTTCGTCATTTTCAGTTCTATTGCTGCTGCTGAACGGCAACTGCAAACTGTCATCAAGGAATTCATCTTAATCATTTAGACTCATAGGACAGGTTCTTAAAATTGAAAAAGCGATAAAATATTTGTATTCCAAAAACGTATGGTTGTTGTTTCATATCTCCATATATTCTAAACGAGTGGACCTATTTTCAAAGTAGAGTAGAATGGAAAATCAAAATCCTTTCTCAATGAGGTACCACTCGACTCCCATTTCTATTTAGAAAAATTTGTCGTTGAAATACCGAATGGTCGTTTTAAATTTCGTAGATAAATCACTCAGTGTTGACGTTTCCCATAACATTAGCACATAGAAACAAATATACAGACTGAACTAATGACTCACTGAACTAACGGCGCGATTCATTTGAATCAGTGCACCATTTAAACACCTGTCGCTACGAGTAAGTCTATGGTCGCTACCCGTTCTGTAATTTCAGACGACAGAATTTGAGAATGCGAAATTGCCATTGAGCGATTCATGCATAAAAGCGCATATATGGGACGGGACAGTGACCGGTTGGGTTGACGTGACAGGTGTACTCGTTTCGGCGGTACATAGTTATACCACCGTCACAGTTTAAGTATCTGTGCCACCGTACATAAGTAAACAGAAGTAAATTCACTCCCGTCGGTCTCTTTGATGTTTCGGGTCGAGATTTTATTTTTTGCTGGCATGTGGCGGGGCAGGAGGGTGTCGGCTAAGAGCTGTTGTTCGATCAAAAAATATGAGATCATGATCTGACTTCATCATTGCTACGAGGAGCTCCCAATAAATGTCTCATATGATTGTGAACTGTTTAGGAATTTATAAAAAATAAGACAAGGTGGTGAAATATACGTATATTTTATATAGTAAGATTATACAATTTAGGTCAAAAACTCATGCTGATATATTTTAAAGGTTTTTCAGAATTATGAGTTTTTGATTTTTTTAACATTTGTTTTCAAATTACTATTGGCAAATTTCAAAGTATAATAAATGCTTACCGTTGTGAAAAGAGTAAATAAATAATCCAAAGGAAAATTATCACAATCAGTGGCACATAAATTGTTGAAATGATTAAGAAATTCTGCTTCTAGATGAATGATACATTGTAAAACTGATACCGGAGGCATATATAAACTTCCAAACTGTTTGGCTACTGTATTACTATATGCCTTGAAATGAATATATACCTACATTTGTTTCATTCAGTATCGTACTAGCCGCCGTGGCAAAAAAAATTTGTACATACTTCTCATGAATGTTTTCTTAAAGATTTTCCCAAAAGATATCCACAAACATAGCCCAAGCTGTTGCCTTCTGGAGTGGCTCGAGTTCTATAATCATTTGTCTCTAGTCTCAAAGGTCTTTAAGGATTTTTTGAAACTCCTAGAAGAATCTTCATTCTATTTATGTCTGCATTTGTAATACTAGATAGAATCGCTCTAGTATCTTTTAGACAGTTAATTCCTTCTGCCTGTGTGAAATACTGAAGAGTAAATGTGTTTTAGAAAGCTCTGGTAATTTGAATGGGAGTTGGGTTTCTGGAATTTCCACAAGTATTTCTAAGTTAACCAAAATAATTTTCCACACAGTCCTGATTTATATGCCTCGTCAATATGTAGGAGTGTCCTTCACTATGTAGGTTTTCCTAAAATTGCAGAAATGCCAAAATTGTTATCTGCCACCCCTCAATGAATATCATTTGTCCAGTCGTGTTTTTTCCTTTTTTTGATATTACAGTTAATTTGCTGAAAAATTATAAAAACGATAGAAATAAAAACAATGTAATAATATGGTCCTCTTCTCAGGACAAGAGAAAACGAAAAAAAACTGAAACTGAAGGTTTCAAAGTTTCGAGTATAGGAGCTTTCTAGCTCGTTTCTCCTTCATTCATTTTCTGAAATGAATTGTAGCAGCGCTGTCACCAGATGCAGATTTCTCCGCATCAAATTTTGAATATCAAGGCAGATCCAAAAAAGCTGTAGAGTTCGTGCCGATCGCACGAAGGCCGGTCTTTTTTTAAATCTGATCATTTGGTATACTTACTTATATTCTCTCTCATTGTGTGGTTCCAGAACTGAATTTTAATCTTAATTGAAATGCTTTTCACTCACTATTCTCTTCTCGATAGATTGACAAAAGGTACGGGTGCTTATAATTTCGTATCCCAACCACAGATTTTTATTTTCCTCTACGTCAGTATGTGTGGCCAGAAATCTGTGGATAACTTCACGCCAATGACTCCCATTTCTATTTAGAAAATTTTGTCGATGAAACACCGGCTTAGAGCGTTAAAGGATGAATAGTTATGTGGCTGAAGACATACTAGGTGATTCCCGACATCTAGCTTTCTCCTCTTCGGGTATTCTTCATGTGAACGTCGATCCTGATATTTAATAATATTTTGGTCACTCTGATGTAGAATTTTCCGAATCCACGTCTTTTTCGATTACTTTTGTTGTAGTTATAGCTTCTTCATTTTGTTTCACCAACTTCTCTGAGCCATTCTGCTGAATATATCTTCTGATGAGGTCTACCTTATTATCTAAATTATCTTATCAATAATTTATCAAGTACAAATCAGAGGGACACTTCTCAGGAAAGTTCGTATCATTTCAATAGAGAAAAAAAATAATAACAAAAGAATCAATAACGGGCTGTTCGGGATGGAACTTTTACCACTGTTTATAGTTCTCACGATTTCCCAAAAGTCTCAACAATTTCAACCAATGTTTCTTATCACAAGGCCGTTCTCAAGGCGTGTTAAGCGACATTTGAGTTTTGATAGCTCATTTATTCTGACTAATAAAGTTTTGTTCAAAACAGTCTTTGTAATGTATTCCATAGGATGGTCGTTTTAAATTTCGTAGATAAATCACTCAGTGTTGACGTTTCCCATAACATTAGCACATAGAAACAAATATACAGACTGAACTAATGACTTACCTTCCATGAACGGAATATAAATGACCGTTTGTAAGTTCATGAAACAACTGGCCTAGAAAATTTCAACTTTATTCAGAAGTATCCACCCAAACACAACAACGACAGCTACATTCTCATTTCAGCGACCTGAACATCAAATCTTTGTAATGGTGTGCATAAGCCTTGTCGGCAGGAGGCACACGATTCAGTCGTTTTAACGAAGTCTGCATTTCTGGGTGAACGGCAACCCGCTAACATCGCGGGGGGCGTTCCCCCTGCCTCCTTATAGCGGGGGCGTGAGGGCACGCTTGTCAGAAAACCACTCGCCACTCTACCCTTCAGGTAGCGAATGCCCTGAAATGTAGATATGTATGTAGTATATTTTTAATGAAACTATTTTTTATTTTGATTTGGGTTTGCCCCAGTTATTCAGTCGTCCGTCAGATGAAACGGTGGTTCGAGCCGCGAGACTGGACTATCGATTTCACTGCCTATCGTCCAACACGTGCTAGGAAACACATTTTAAAAGATAAGACCCCGTTAATCCTCAGCTCGCACAAGTTTCGACTTTTAAGGGTTCATAGGTGGCGACTGCTGGTCACAGGAAAACATATTTAAAACAGTTTTTGTATATAAGACAGAATTTGTGAACGCGACATTGTCGATGAGCCACTGATGCATAAAAGCGCTTATATAAAATATAATTTGAAAACGATACATTGTCGATAAGCGGCTAACGCATAAAAGCGCTATATACAGGTTAGGGTACCCCATACGACACGGTTCCTGTAAACTAAACCATAATTTTTTTCAGAAATTTCCCCATTTCATTATATGTATATTGATTGAGGCTGCAGAAGTAAATTATTTTGGAGTCTTCAGGGTAGCTAAAAAAGTGTGACATAAAAATTGTGTTTTTTAAATGGAATACCGTGTATTTCGTTACACTTTTAAATAGGTCAGGAAAAAATAATATGATTTCATATAAGGTACTATG